TTTTTGAGAATGTGTCTAGGAAGGATTCGTGACAGTGGGTATAGAGGTTCTAGAGCCCTTTCATTTTGGATATGATGTCGTTAACGTGCTGGTGGAAATGCATGTCTGTTGATATGGTTAATCCTAGGTGTTTGTGTGCGGGTACACATGGGATCGCTTGACTGTCAAATGTGGGGAGGATTTGTGGGGACTCCTTGTAACAATAGCGTCAAGGTTGACCTCAGTTGACCTAAAATGACCTCGAACGATCCTTACACCTTTTCACGTAGCACTTTTGCGCCAATTGCATATGTAATATATGAATTTTATGTTGTTGCAGTGTGAATAAAATGCTCTCCCTCTCTCTCTGTCTCTCTCTCTCTCTCTCTCTGTCTGTCTGTCTGTCTCTCTCTCTCTCTCTCTCTCTCTCTCTCTCTCTCTCTTTCTCTCTCTCTCTCTCTCTCTCTCTCTCTCTCTCTCTCTCTCTCTCTCTCTCTCTCACACATGGCGGGCAAATGAAGCACTCGCAGATGCAGTTAGGTAGAGACTGATCTAAAATCCAGGATTCCTTTTTCAACGTACAAGAATGCACTATGTAAAAGGCTGTGCGAGCCCTGTGAATGTATCGGTCTGAAACTGAATACGATGATGCAGCCCTATTAAGCACTGTCGGTGTCAAATTCACTTGGGCCAGCTGGGTGGACCACGACCGCTGAGCCGGAAGGGAGGCTTCGCTGTACCCTGATTCCCTCATTTGGGAAGGGGTGAACGTAAAGGGTGCGGCCGGGCGGCGAATCAGGATCATCGATGCGCCCATGTGCTAGTAGGGTCCTTAGAATGGAGACTTGGCTTGTCAGTTGATGGAATAGTTCTCGGATGTTGATAGTTTCAAGAGCCACCAAACAGGTGGCGTCGCAAAGCGAATACGGACTCACATACGGAATGAAGTTATTAACCCAGCGTCTGTTGTAACTACCGGGTGGCAAAAAAAAAAAACGTTCCAAACTTTGGAGGCCTATTCGAGTGCAAATAACGAGCCAAAATTTTCATCAAGTTTGCATCAATTCTTTGCGCATTGGCATGCCAAATTGTAACACTGTACCTACCATTATTTTCAAGCCACCAGTCTTATGTTGAATTAAGTAAGACGTTTTTGCTCTTTTTGCCGATGTTGAGCGGAAGTGATGATTGGCTTAGACGTGCGATGTTATAAAAATAAATAGAAAAATAGAACACGTGAATGAAACCAGCACGTATGTTGTTATTGTAAATATTTTTCATCTCACTCATGTGCCAAATGCTCAAAAATAGTGAGGCAAAATGGTGTTAACCCGCGCCCTGGTGGGGTCTGTTTATAACGCGACCTGGTGGGGGGGGGGGGCTATTTTTTGCCCCCCCTCGTATCTCCGAAACTACTTGACGGATCCTCAAAATTCAAACGGCGTTCGAAAGGCCTGTCAAATTTGTCGAGGGAAACCAAATTTCATTGACCTCGGGGTCACCGATGACGTCACAGGTCAGGTCAAAGATGACATGTTTCACCGTGCACGGGTCATCTAGGGAATGCGCTATAACACCGAAGAAAACGCATTTTGTCGAGAATCAGCGATAGGGCGTCAGTTGCCTAGTACATATGTTGCTATAAGAGGTCACTGACAATACCAGGTCAGGTCACAGGTCAGGTCACCAAGGGTCAGAGCCCAGAGGTCAGGTCACATGAACCTAACATTAGGTACTAAGGTTGTGCGATGCATGTTTTATGGCCAATTTTTCATTTCCAACTCAATGGTGTTGGTTATAAGACTATCAGGTACGGCTTAGGTCACTTTCTGGTGAAGGTCAGGTCAAGGTCAGGTCAAGAAAGGTCAAATTTTAAAGTTGATAGTTTTGCATAAAATGGGTATTGATTCGATGCAGCTCGTCACGGGGAGTCTAATGGTGGTCTTTGTTTTGCGCTACGGGGTCTAGAATTGCTAAAAATTGAGTTTGAAAATTTGACATCATCAATTTTGAACAGTTTTTTCGCTATAACTTCGCCAAAAAATGAGGTATCAATCTCAAATTTGGTATGTGGATAGAAGGCGGTAAGGACTATCATATGTATTCCGGTTTTTGCGAAACTCCAAAAACTTTTTGGATTTTTCGGTTATTATATTCAAAAAATCTATTTTTTGATTTTTGGGGGTCAAAATCCAAAAATTTCAAAAATCCGAGATAGCAGTTTTGTAGCCCTGTCAATTTTACATCTTTTATGTCTTTATCGTTTTTCTGTATTTGCAAAGCTATAGGCCTGACAGCTCTTCCCGCGAAACCCTTTTTTTTTGGTCGAAAACGGCAGAACATGACGTCACTCTGACGTCATTTCCGGCCAACCTATCATAGCCTTTGGAAAAATTTTTGGTCACGATGTGTAAAATTGATGTCCGAGAGGCTACTGAAAGTTTGGTGGCGATCGGCGCAGCGGTTCTGGAGATATATCGAAAAGTCTGGAGGGGGGGGCAAAAAATAGCCCCCCCCCCCCACCAGGGCGCGGGTTAAGGGATGCCATTCGTTTCAACGCTAAGTCCTGTTTCGAGCAGGAGTGGCACGGTGCATGGGTTACTGCTCATCGCACTCCCTTCAAGAAGATCAAACAGTAAATCGACCGAATAAAGAAAAAAGCTAGACGAAATGTGTCACCCTGAGGCCTGAACCATCAAATAGACTAGTTGCCAGTAGCAGTCATGGCTGCAGGCCGTGGTGCCGAGATGGAAGTGGCCCGTTCACTCACATTTTTTAGTAAACATCTGAGCAAAAAGTAATTTTTACATGGCATGCTACAAACATGAACCGTTTAAAAAGTAATTGATCGAATAACATAAAAAATCATACCATTCACTGAAAATATATACCGCATTGACGATTGGAAGTGTCTGTGCTGCATCTTTATCACTTTCTGAGAAATATTGATTCAAAGTTGGGAACGTTTTTTCTGGGCCACCCGGTATAATGCTATTTTCCTTATCATAATGTTGTTACACTTGCGAGTGACTCTGCACGTCCGACTCGTAATGTCGCTTAGTTAGACATGTGGTAGCACTATATACGAGGAAATAGCCGTGCCTGGACTGAAGTCGGAACATGGACGTTTCCGGGTCAGTTGCAAAAAATAGCAACACTGCAAGCGATAACAATTTCACCATATAAACTGAGCGATTTTGAGTCTATGTCGGCGCCATATTCTCACATCCATTATTTTGTACGGCTTATGACATCGGTCGCCTTCAATACAGACTTATCGCTGCTGTCCATCCGCGTATTGCCTCCCCTCAGACCCGTGCAGCTCCCGGCGGAATAACCTCTCTAGCTTGTGCGCTCGCTAAATCTCCAATCCATCATCGGGCGCCACATTCCGAATGGCCGACCTCGGCGGACCGTCGCGCCGGGCTGGCGCCCGACGGCCCGCACAGGCAGGCAGGCGCACAGAGCCGACCGGCGACGGATAGGGCGCGGAGTGCTGGAGTTGGGCGGTGGGTGGGACCGCCTATCGCGACTTCAGAAACCTGGCAATGTTATGCCGGCCCAATGTTGGACATTAAATGTGTAAGAAGTATAGTTATGAAGCTTAAAGGTAATGTCCATCGCTCGGAAATGATTTCAGCTTTCTCCTCCACTCACTAAACAAGTGAATACGGAGACGAGTCGACCAATCAGCTTGACCCAGGGCCCCCTCCTTAGTGGAATACCTCCCGACAGAATCTCTCGCCTGCACTGTAAACTGATCATCCCGCACTATATCTCTTCCCACCCGAAACACGAGACGTCCGCAGCGGAGACGGAGTGGCGGCGCCGGACGGACAACAAAAACATCAGACCGCAGTTCAACAACCTGACGACGGGGGACGCGCCTCGCCGCCCTGCCGACGCCGGCCACAATTCAGCGCCGACCGTCGGGGCAAATTAACCGCCTGACACTCAGTGGTCGTCCGCGCCGGTTCATGCGGCCATCTTGAAAAAGACATGGGACTTATGGGACACTGAAAGGAGGGAAAAAGACAGCGACTGGGAAGAATGGAAAATGGTGGTGCGAGTTCTAGTGTTGAATGTGTGCTGTGTCAGTTGGTATGTTGAGTGATTCTGAGCAATGTCTACCAGTGTCGCAATAATGCTGCGCAGTAGGTAGCTAATGTGTGAGGGCATGCTAAACGTTTCTGTTGAGGTCCCTGGACAAGTGGACAAAAACAAAGCACAAATGACAAAAAGATATGCTAATGAAATATCGGTATCATTCTGAACATTTTTGCTTTGTTTTCAAAACATCACGAACATTTCGTACGATCGTAATTTTTTTTCAATTAGAAAAATAACTTGCACTATGGTCTGCATATGATATATATGAAATATTCCTTGGGTATATCTTTGTAGTTTATGCGGCAAAAAGAAGGGAAGATGACAAAAACAAGAGGAAGGACTAAAGAGATGCTTGTGATTTTATCATTGCGTTAGCGCGAGAAACATTAGCATATATCACAGACACAATGGGCTGACGGACCGAAGAGGCGTTTCTTTTAGGCACGGCGACGGACAGGGGCTTCCGTGAGCTGTCTAACTGGAGAGGACTTTTCGTGATCCGTCTGGAGAGGGTTTTTCGTGAGCTCTTCGTAATCCAGGGGGTTTTCGTGGGCCGTCTGGGGAGGGGTTTCCGTGAGCTCTTCCTAAGCTGCCTAGAGAGGGGCTCTCGTGGTCCATGAGGCCGTAGCAGAGTTTCCGTGAGCTCTCCGTAAGCTGCCTGGGGAGGCCTTCCGTTATGTGTCGGAACGGAGAGGGGTTTCCGTGAGCTCTCCGTGAGCCGTCTGAAGAGGCCTTCCTTCCGTGATGTGTTGGACCGGAGAGGGGTTCCGTGAGCTGTCGGACTGTGTCATCGGACCACCTGTGTGCCGCCTGGGAGGGGGGGGGGCGATGGGTGGTGAGGGGGGGCGGCGTCGGCAGCGCACCGCACTGCAATACGGCCGGTGGGCCGATCAATACGGGCGGAGGGCGGGCGGCCGCGGCGCCGGCTGTGCGGACGCCGCGCGACGCTAGTGTGGCACCGACCACCAGCCAGCCGCCATCCAGCCGACTCAGGTGGGTCAGTAGCACTTCCGTCACCGCTGAGCTGGCCAGACCAGACACCTGTGCACGCGGACACACTCGGCAAATAGCCCTAATCTGACCGCGGACACTAATTTCGGCCTGCACTTTGCGAGCGATAATCTGAATGTCATGTTGCTGTAATGAAAAATTCAAGCGTAGATCTTACGAGCAAACATTGACGGTGCCGTCCTTTCCAAAGCGTTTCGGGTGCAAGAGGATCTCTGGAGGATAACAGTTTACCTACGCATTTAAGGCATGTAGTTGGGATGCTAAAGACGTCAGATTTTCATTAGGTATAACTAAAGTTGACAATTGTTTTTGGAGCCCATGATCTTTCAAGAATTTTAAGGGGCTATTTTACAAAGCAATGACACACTGTCAGAAGCATGGGTTGACACAGAGAAGACAGTATCCCAACGCACTGCCGCTGGCTCACCAATGCGACGGCCATGTTTGCGTTTACAGCTGCATCCTCAAAAAGTGAATGCGAAGAAATTAATGTGTAATCTGTATCCTAATGTAAATGAATGTATCCCCAATTTTCGAGTTCAATTTAGCCACCTCTGGGCGAAGCCCTCCGACTACTGGGGAGCAAAAACACTTTGCCGCCAAACGACCGCGCCCCTTTGTCGTCGATCACGCGTTATGGTCCGCTGATAGCGTGCGGAACCGGCCCACCCAATGCCTTATTGGTAAATAAAGGCCACTCATTTTATTCAGGCCATCCAGCCTCCACCAAGTGATGGCTGTCAGACTCCCACAGTGCTTGTTATGTGACAGTAGTTTGATGCTGGTGTTTTTCGTAACTGTTCTCCACTTCATCAATCGCGTCACATTCACATTTTTCATTCGTATCTTTGTAGCTCAAAAGGCGTATAAGAGTATCAACGATAGCGTCAATCATGAACATTACATACATATTACATTATAAAGGGAACGATGTGAATTAGATTGAAAAATTATTAATATAATATTTATTCAATATAAAATTACCAAATTAAAAAATGCTAGTAATGATTAACAGTTTAAATGCATAACAATCGAGGACATATTTATCATAAGTCTATTATGCTGTCACTGTAGAGCTTATCGGGTTCTTGCGCCAGTCACTGGCTAAGGAACGACCCGGCCAAAGCAAATATTTTACATTCTTGGGATAAATTTTGGTGCTCAGGAGTCATTCTAGCGACACGAGCGTGACACTGATCACAAGGGAGGAGAATCTGGACTTTTTATTAAATTGAACCTTCTTCAGAGCGCAGCACACTGTGAATGTGTCGAAACGCTTTCTTTCGGCTATTGTCAACGTTGCTTACAATATGCGCAATGCACATAATAAAAGCAGTAGTTCATTTCAGAGATGTTGCTGCAAAGCTGAGTGACGATAACTGGGGCGTTACACCTCATCTAACTCCAGTTCTGGACTACGATAGCGGCAATAAGTGAACGACGTTCAAAACGTTGTAAAAGATAATAGTGAAAGTAACTCGGTCGTTTCAGGTCATATCACTAAACAAAAAAACAAAAAAAAAACATCTAAGGTCACCTTCCTGAATTTTAACTCAATTTTAGCATTTCCTTTTATTAATTGGCTCGCAACCCGCGACCTATCAGATGGAGTATTTAGATGGTGCAATAAGGCCCTGCACTGCGCTGTTGCAGAATGAGCACCCAGGCCGCCACCGCCAGTCCCTCCAGCAGGGTGAAGCTGGACAAGGCCAACAACTTCATGCGCCAGTTCCGTGACGCCGAGAGCCGGCAACTGAAGAAGCTGACCGCCAACCAGTTCATGGAGGTGTGGAGCCACTATGACGCTGACGGTAAGCTGGCCAGCTACCCTGCACGATATGATCCTGTGTTACAACTATCCGAGAAATCATTAGGGATCATTTGCGATTCTCATCGAACTTCTGATAATCAATAGGTTTACAGATATGCATACATAACTCATTATTAAGCTAAAAATGCTGAAGCTGGTAGTTTTTCATTATATGCATGAAAAATAATAACGACTTTCCCGTAAGTTAATCGCAGTGTTCTCCTTATTCCAAAATCTTTAAAGCAACAAGTTCTATGGAAAGTAAGTCGCTCGCACATCTGAAGTGCCCCGGTGAACACCGTTTCTAAGGAGGTACTTTTCAGCAAATTCTCAGCAGATGTGACGCCTCGTCAGGAAGAAGGGTGCCGCCGCCGTAGTACGCACATGATTGTAAAAAGGTTCCGCTGCGATATGCCAAATAATGACGAAATCCCATAGCAATCTTCGAAGACCATTCCGTACGTTGTTTCTGAGCAAGTGCAAACGAAACCGTGATTTTTTTGCGAACCAATTTCGGTAATACGATGGAAGGCTCTCGATTTATCAAAGCGATGCTAGGAAAGTGAGCAAAGAAAACATCATATTTTGATCACGGTGGAAGCCCGGGGAGGGTCACTGGGTCTTCACTTCTTTGAAGACGGCGCGGCGGCGGCGGCATGCCGACTCCGCATTGTCAGCGTTCAGAGATATCGGACGGAGACGGTGAAACTTCACAGGGTCATCGACAACTGGCTGGAGATCGAATCGAAAGTGTTTACAAGTGCCAATGTTTCCCGCAGGACAGTGCCATAACACCTAAGAAACCCGATGATGGCTGTGCGCTGCGCTTGCGCTCTGCAGAAACGCTTGCGACAGGCGGTTCAACGCGAAGGATTAATTCTCTAGACTTCATCGATCCCATCGGTATTCTTGTGGGGCTGCTTGGGCGCTGCCTTCATTAACATGCCTAACGGAACACAAGGAGCCTCATTGCTCAAGGACCTCAAAGGTGTGGTGGACCAGGCGGTATGCCCGGGGCTGTTCGTCGCGTCTACGCGCCGCACTGCCGTTGAGACTGCACGCTGCAGGGTGCAGCCTCCACGCTGCACCTTCGCCGTGCTTACCAAGCGCCAAGAGGAACTGGGGTCAGGTCATGATCTATTCCTTCATTCATTCGGCTAATCATTCGGCTGATTTATATATCAACTTTTGCATCTTAAGGCCAATATATACCGTTCATTTTTAATTAACCGGCGCCCCGCTGTGGCTCCTGGATTTCCATGCCCTGCCAGGGGCATGTGTGTTTGAATACCCCCGCCCGCCCCCCCCCCTTCTAATTCGGCTCCTGGGCCACGTAGCGACATTCTGTAGACGGTGTTCGAAAGGGAATAGAAAATAATAAAGAAACTACTTCGGTCACATTTTTGGTGAGTTCAAAGTTCAGGTCACCGGAGATCATCGGAGGCAGAATTTCGCCAATTTCCAGGTCAAACTTAATCAAGCTTAGCAAAGGATGGAGCTACAGCGCCGCGGAAAGGCGCATTCGATAACGTTTTTTTTAACGCCCTTTGACCTAAGGTCAACAGTTTAGCCTGCGGGGAGCAAAAACGGCCAAAATAGACTTCTTACGGAAACAGTGCTTCTGCAATAACTTTTCATTCAAAACTTGCACGAGCTTACTTTTAGCAGCTTCGTGTTCTTCTCGTCGAGATGCATAGAATAAACTATGAATTGACCTTGATGGGTCAACTTTAGATGTTGATCTCAGATCAAGGTCATGACCTGACAGGAAAAGGTCGCAGATCAGTCGGTCCATAACGTCGAGTCGAGCGCATCTATGGTGTTACATGCCTCTATCAAAAGTGCGAAAAACTGTAATGCCATTCGTGACCCGAGATGACCTCAGGGACATAAGGAAGGGTCACGGGTGCCATTTTCCGTTTCAGTGTGTCATGTTTACTTGTAATTCAGCCTTTGAGTGCTTGGGACGACGTTCGTCGAAAAGCGACGCCTTTCAATTTTCTCCCATTTACTTACCTATCATGGGAGGGCGCAAAATTGATATGATCTTAGGTGACCGACATTAAAATTCCGAGATATAAATTTCGCACATATTGCTGCTCTTATCAATTGCTGAAAGTTTTAACCCTATTCCTGGCGGGGGGGCCTCAGGAGCCCCCCCCCCCCTGAGGTTTTTTGGTTATTTCTCCCAAACGCGTTGAGCTAGGAAGCTGAAATTTTCTGACTTTTCCTAAAAGGCTTCTACGCAACATGTCTGAAAATTTTGAGTTGATCTGACCTCAGGTCAGGTCACCAGAGGCGGTTAGGTGACCCTACCTCAGAAAAGTTTGCAATCACGCCAGAGCTAGAGTTTTTGACCGATCAATTTCTTCTCTTCAGGCTTTAGTTAGGGTACCAGTATGTGCAATTTGTATATCTCGGAATTTTGATATCGGTGACCTAAGGTCAGGTCAGTTTCGCGACCTCCCCATTATAAGTCAATGGGGGAAAAATCAACTCCCTGTTTTTACCACTAAAACGGGTCGGAATGGCCCCATATACCATACATGACTTCATATACGATCAACCTTCACTACCTTGAGGTCTGTTTTGCTGTTGGGCAGCTGTGAGGTCATGTGACGTCATCAAAGGTCACCAAAGGTTTTTGGCCAATAACTCCGTACAGGAACAAGATACAGACGCGTGGATGGTCTCATTGTGTTCAGCTCGTCAAGACGCATCGAATGATATACATGATGACCTCGAGGTCACGTGACCTGAGGTCAACCTTTGACCTTGACCTTTCGAGGTCAACATATATCATTCGATGCGGATTGACGAGAGGATCACGATGATGCCCTTAGTTTGTTCCTATCTTGACTAATTCGAAAGTTATTCGAGAAAACCTATCTCCATATCTAGCGCCGCCATTTTGACTTTTTCGACCCCTGTGACGTCATCTTTGACCTGACCTGAAAATGACCTTGGTATAAATTGTAGACCTTGTCCATGCTATCCGATGCCGTTTACCGCTTGTCGCTATCTTGCTTCGTTCTCGAGATCTCAGGGGGGGGGGGCCGAATCGGCCCCCCCCCCCCGCCAGTTTCTTGTCCCGGCGGAGCCCGCCAGGAATAGGGTTTTAAAGTGATCCGTCACTTGGTATAGCCACGGTGTGGCTATGGCAGGTATTGAAACTTTTTTAGGTGAGGTCACTTGACGTGACCTGGTGACCTGATTTTGAGAGGCCTCAGTCGGAAATTTTCACATGTGCACAAAAAGATGTATGATAAGGTGTGTCAAAAACGGCGGCGTTCCACCCCGCCATTTTTGATATATCTGCGAAAAAATGCCTTTCCCAGCAGGGCGTGAGCTAATGATTCTGATTGATGTCTTAATGTTGACGAAGTAGTTAACCCGGCAGTTGCTGGGGTATTTCGCCACCCACCATTTGCTGGGGGGGGGGGGGGGGGCGTTAAACGCCCCCAGCCGATAACTCGAGAACCAATAGGCGCAGCGAAACGCACGAGGCCGCAAACGAAAGAGCGCGACGAGACGCTTCAGATGAGTACTTAAAAGTTGAATTTCGAGGTCACAGGTCGGGTCAAGGTCAGGTCAAACACCTGAAATCGGGCTTTCAGTAGCATGGACTTCAGGACTTCGCAATGGGCGCCTCTCGTCATAAACTCTGTCAAAACGGTGCACAATCCATCATATAAGGCCTACAAGAGTGTCAGCTCCATGTAGGGGTCAGTCAAGCATAGGTCAGGGTCAAGGTCAGGTCAACCGGGTAGGCACATATCCCCGAAAATCAAAACTGATATTCGCAACCTGTGACACATGTTTTATAGGTAATTTGGGGCGTAGAACACGATGGTGACATTCATTTTATCATATGTGTACGTGTTTGGCTCAAAAAGTTCAATTTAATAAATGCATGTATCATGGTCGTGAAGTAGTCACGAAAAATTGCCAAGATTCAGTTCAAGATTATGGAAAATGCGGAACGATAATCAATAATCGAAGATAGCTATTTGATTGATCATGGTATTGGCAGTCTAATGGCGTTTACGGCATGTCTGTATGTCTATTCTGTGATTTTATATGATTTTTTGAACATATGCCGTTTTTGGTCGAAAACTCAGAAATCATGACGTCACTTAAACCTCGATATCTCAAAAATTTTCCGACCGATTTTTTTGAAACTTTGTCACAATAAACTTCAATCAATTCCCTACAGGTACACGAAAGTTGGCGCGCCTGCGGCGCGCCTTTTTTATGCTATGGCCCGGCGAAAAAAGTGGGGGCGTTTAACGCCCCCCCCCCCCTCAGCAACTCGCGGGTTAACAGTCAAGCTCTTTTACATAACTCGAACACGTTCTTATCGAGCATCAATGCAGCAAGGGCAGCAATACATAAAAGTATCTGGTTTCAGGAAACGGTTTCATCGAGGGCACCGAACTGGATGGCTTTCTGCGAGAGTTTGTATCCAGCGTCAATGCCACCGACTGCGGACCGGAGGTCAGTCCACAGTCACACCCATGGAAAATAGCACCGTACACTGCGCCGCTGTCGTCTTTTATTTAATTTATTAAATAGTATCACACAATGACGTGTTTGAAATATGTGACATTCGTCTACCTACATTTCAACGAAACGCGCAGCATGATAACTCATTTCAATTTTTTGAATGTGGTTTTCAAATACCACTTATCTACATCTAAAATTTCATCACCCTTCATTAATTTTATATCTGCTTTAACCCGGCAGGCGGTGGGCCTACCAGCCACCTTCCGCGCGGTGGGGGGGGGGGGCACGTTTTTGCCCCCCCCCCCCGTATCTCCGAAACTACTGGACGGATCCGGAAAATTCAAACGGCGTTCGATAGCCCTGTCAAATTTGTCGCAGGAACCCAAATTTTATTGACCTCGGGGTCACCGATGACGTCACAAGTCAGGTCAAAGATAAAATGTTTCACCGTTCACGGGGCTTCTAGGGAAAGCGCTATAACACCGAGTAAAACGCATTTTGTCGAAAATCAACGATAAGACGTCAGTTGTCTAGTACATATGTTGCTATTAGAGGTCACTGGTCATACCAGGTCAGGTCACAGGTCAGGTCACCAAAGGTCACCAAGGGTCACCACATGAGCCCAACTTTACTAAGGTTATGTGATGCATGTTTTATGGCCAGTTTTTCATTTCCAACTCAATGGTGTTGGTTATAAGACCATCAGGTACGGTTTAGGTCACTTTCTGGTGAAGGTCAGGTCTAGGTCAGGTCAAAAAAGGTCAAATTTCAAAGGTGATATTTTTGCATAAAATGGGTATCGATTCGATGCAGCTCGTCACGGGGAGTCTAATGGTGGTCTTTGTTTTGCGCTACGAGGTCTAGAATTGCTAAAAATTGAGTTTGAAAATTTGACGTCATCAATTTTGAACAGTTTTTTCGCTATAACTTGGCCAAAAAAAGAGGTATCGATCTCAAATTTGGTATGTAGGTAGAAGGCGGTAGGGGCTATCACATATATTCCGGTTTTTTTTCGAAATTCGAAAAAAATGGATTTTTTGGCTATTTTATTCAAAAAATCTATTTTTTATTTTTGGGGGTGAAAATCCAAAAAAATCGAAAACCGAAATAGCAGTTTTATAGCCCTTTCAATTCTACACCTTTTATGTCTGAAACATTTTTCTATATCTCTAAAGCTGTAGGCCTGACAGCTCTTCCCGCGAAACCTTTTTTTGGGTCGAAAATGGCAAAAATGACGTCACTCTGACGTCATTAGCGGCCAACCTATCATAGCCTTTGGAAAAAAAACCTATCATAGCCTTTGGGGGGGGCAAAAAAATGCCCCCCCCCCCCACCGCCTGGAAGGTTAATAACCCTCGCCCGGCCAGTGTCTTTTTCATAACACTGACGGCCATGGGAGGGCGTTCCGCGTTTGGTACGACCCCCTAGCGGTTGGCTCCTATTGCACTTAGAAACGTCAAATTTACGGGGAACCCGCTAAAGTTCTCACGTCCGTACAAGTTTGGTGAGTTCAGGTCAATATTTGGAATTTTGGAGGAATAAATTAAAAAAAATTCGCTAAAACACGTGAAATAAGTGTGATTTCGGTCTTAACCCTCGTCCTGGCATGGTGTGTCAAAAGTGGAAATAGCCGGTGTGCCGTCTGGCAACCCGGCAGCCCGCCGCCATAGGGAAATTCATGCTTTTTGACGCTTTTTCGCTCCTTATGAGTCACTTCATCTAATTAGAGCTTAACTAGGAACGAGGCGGGTCACTTGGACGTATTCGGGAGCCGAATACGGTGTTTTGGAGCCAATACCTGGGAAACTCTACCCGCCCAATGCGAGTTTTTAAGAGTCTGCATGCCCAAATTAACGTTGAGCGCGGCCGTTTTCGGTCGGTTTTCCGCGACCTTGTGGCGAAATCGCCTTATTTATTCAACCAGGGTGGGCTAATTCGCTTAACTAGGAATAAGGCGTTGAAGAGAATTATTCAAGGAATAGAGCTGTGCAAAAATATTTTTTGTATTGTTAAAACTGTATCCGCCCTCGAACGATAAATATTGTTGACTCATCAGAAACACAGCCCCTGGAATGCTTTTGGACTTGGCTGGATCTAATATTAGCGAGTATCTGCAAATGCAGTTTCTTGGCTTACACAGTACGCACATGCAAGCATACATACTTCCTGCCCTTGGCTATTCCTCACTTGAATGAAAATTTTGCTATAATAACTATTCCAAGCAGTTAACAGGTTTTAGTGCAGTGCCAAGTCGGAGCCGTTCAGCGCCGCCAGTCTCCCAGGCGGCGCGTAGCGGCGGCCGCCGCCGGCCGCCGCGCCGCCGCTCTGGCAGGGTGTTTGACTTCATATCTCTGTTGCTAGAAAAGTTGTGGACCGATTTACTTGATTCTTGCATGAGAAGATCTGCCATTCAATCCTTAGCAGATAACGAAAATTTGACGTCAATTGCACGGTCCGCTGCCCATATTGTGATACTGCCATCTATTGACAAGGCTGGCGAACTAAAGCCGGGCGGCTATTTCCACTTTTGACACACCATGGCAGGACATTTTTCATAACACGGCCTGGCAGGGGGGGGGGGGTGTCGATGCGACCCCCCCCCCTGGCGATTGGCTCCTATGGCACCTAGAAACACCAAATTTGGTAGGTAGGTGGGGCCCCTGGAGTTCTCGCCCCTGTGCAAATTTGGTTGCTCTAGGTCAATATTTAGGGGGGGTTGGGGGTATAAATGTAGAAATTTCGCTAAAAACAGGTCAAAAGTTTTTCGCTTATAACTTTTGATCTAATTAAGATACAGCAAAAAAAGCACCAGTGAACTCAGCACGTCAAGGCGCGTTGAATGATATACTTGTTTAGTTTGCTTAAGTGTACTTAAAGTTTTTCTTAATTTTTAAGCAAACTTTAATTAATTGATTAAGTTCAAGTTATCCAAATTGCATCATATCGCATATCGTTCGATTCGGCTAATCACCAGGAACACAATGACACCATTTTTTAAGCTCTACCGTCATTATGTGCCAAGTTATTGGCAAAAACGTCATTTGACCTCAGTTGACCTCATCTGACCTGACCCATGGATAAGTACACCAAACAAAGAAGCACCAAGTGGCCTCCTGTGAAGTACTATGGTTTCAAAGCACAAAAGTGATAGAACGAAGCGGATATTTTCAGTTTTTCCGAATTTAATACTTTCCCATAGGCCTAACATTACGACGTAATGACCTCTAACTGACCTCAGGTCAGTGACCTCAAAAAAACCCGAACTATATATTATACAACTCGGTGAACTTAGCACTTCCTGAAAGTTTGAAGGAACTCAGTCCAAATCTGTGAGTTTTACAGGTGCAAAAAAAAATTGAAATTTGACCGTGACCTTGTACCGGTTTTTCTGACCTGGTGACCTGACCCAAGGTCACCCGGACCTGAAATTTTCATGTCATATGTAAAAAGGTTGCCCCATAGGCTGTGCCAAATTTGGCGGCGCTGCGCGCCGGCGTTTTAACGCTATCTTCGAAAAACCTTAGGGGGGGTCGCATCGACTCCCCCTGCCAGGGCGAGGGTTAATTTGACGATTTACGGGTTTGCGTGACCTGGTGACCTGACCTGAGGTCACTGCCCACTGGGACTAAAAATGCTCGAGACATGTGTCAGATAGATGCCCTAAAAAGTGTCAGAAATTTAGTGGTGCTACGTCCACCGTGTTTACGCAATTTGCAAAAAGGTTGTGTGTGTTATTCTGATATTGCTAAATTATTTAAATTTTAACCTGGCAACGTACCAATTTCGGGACCTGGTGACCTGGCCTGACAGGACTGAAGCTGGAAATTTTCAGAGAATGTGCTTAAAGGATGCCCCATAGGATAAGCCAAATTTGGCGGCCCTACGCGCCGCCATTTCCGCTACGTACGAAAACCCTTATGGAGGTTGCATCAACCTCCCCCGCCAAGCGAGGGTTAATCAACATTGACGTGCAAAGTGCAATGTAACATAGAACACGCCGGCTTGAATTTGGTCACTGTACCAACAAGGGAGCATTCACATTCGAGTGGGCCTACCATGCTCGGAGGTCGGCATGGTTTTCATGAGTGTAAACATTGAAACACAAATGGCCCCTCTGAAGGGGCGTTCGTGTCTGTAACGGGTGCCTGGTGAGAAGTCATTTGTGAAGTGGGGGAGGGGGGCTCACAGAATTAACGAGCTGAGTCATTCACCTCGCCCAAATGCGACTGTGGGTACGTAAAACATGTGGAGATACTTCAAAGGGGTGCTCATGGCTAAATGTCCTTAAAAAAAAACGGGGTGCAGTGCTACCCATGAAGGGGGCTAGGCGCCTCCTTCAACAATGACGTGTAAATTATTCCAATGGAAAAAACGCAATGGTGACACTCCTGAAATTTGTTTCACATATTCGACTAGGTATAAGTTGCATGAACGTAGTCATTTTGATGCGTCATTTTTATGTCGTCGTGTCACGTCTATCACGTCTCAAAACCACGTCTATGACGCTTCAACGACTACCTCTTAGCTCGTTTCAGAAGGAAAGTGGAAGGTTCCCGGCGTGTCAGTCCACCATGTGATATTTAGTGGAGCTCCTGTGACAGACAGTGGGTCGTTTCAGGTGGTCTCAGACACCATGCTGGCTGAACTGAAGGAATGTTTCATGGAGGCGTACGACGACAATCAGGACGGACGCATTGAGATCAGAGAGGTGAGGTCGATAAATCGGCCCATGCAGGAAATGGAGGGAATGTTAACGACGCTTATGCTGTTAAAACTTTCAAACGTTTAACGCAACATAAGGACAGACGCACCTGAACTGCATGCATACACCGGATAGCCCCGATTGATGTCATAGTTATACAAATGTAAATTGTACAGTTATTGTGTCGTCTAGCCGTTACGATCCTCAGCTGAGTTATATGCTATCCCCGCTATGTTGTCTACTGTCCCCTGTACTGCCTATGCTATTGTGACCTCAGATCCCCTCGGGACGGCTATCAGCTATGTGCCAGTATATAAGTAGTATACACGGCTCCCAGTTGACGTTGACGTTGACCTGTTTGCAGCTGGCTCAGCTGCTGCCCATGGAGGAGAACTTTCTTCTGCTCTTCCGTTTCGATAACCCCCTGGAGTCCAGCGTTGAGTTCATGAAGGTGGGCGATTTAATGTGTTAGTTTTTTTTTCGAGAGGCTTTCGAATAAAGTTAGCTTGATTTACTTTAATTTATTGGATGAATAAGTCATACATTCCACATTTTCTGCATGGAAAAAATCCAAAGTGAACGTTTTCTACAAATCAAAGTGAAAAGAAGCACTTATCGTAGCGGGCTAAGCCCACCGATTAGTCCACTTGTGTCCTCAGCCGCGGGACCACCAGCGTCGGTTGGTATCATGCTGTGACCTGTTATCAAAGGGGGGGGGGGGTCGCCGGTGCATTATGGGCCGTGGCGTCTAATGTTGCGCTGCATATATACTGACCAAACAAACAAGCCTGTCGGATAGTCATGACGATAAACCACACCACCCCTAGTCGTGTGACCCGCTCTGATGGCCGTGTTCCTAATAAGACCTGATGTAATCGCCTCCCTGTAATATACATACACCCTATGCTAGCCTCGACAATCGACATGACTGGACAATTTCTGCATGTTGAAAGAAATACTTTGTCATGACGACAATAATTTTTTTTTCGAAAACAACAGCTTCGGTGCACTTAAAAGGAGTGAGAGGAAAAAGATGAAAAAAAAAGATAAAACCGAATAGCGCAGGGTCCTTTTAGAGATCCAGCCCTATTAGAGATGTTGTGGATAATACGATATAACATAACGTTCAACACAAAAATCAACACAGAGGTATTTTGCTTGCGTTCCTGATAGGGCGTGCTGTCTTCGGAGGAGCCCCCAAAACACATTTTCTTATGCGAGTTAACCCTTCATTCGAAGGCGGTTTTACTTTTACTGCCAGGTTATAATCAATACCTTTCTTTCCTATATATAAAACTTATATTACTATAATAATAACAATATGCAACATAGCAAAGATACGTAAGGAGACCACGGTATCGATGACAATGGCTAATGCTGAAGTTGTTGAAATAAAAAAACAACAAAAAACTGTCCGCCAGTGAAATACTGTCAATTTCTTCCAGATATGGCGTCAGTATGACAAGGATAACTCGGGCTACATCGAAGCGGATGAACTGAAGGTACTGTGCGCAGCTGTTCAGTCCTTGAACCCTTCTACCCTCGATCTCATGTGTAATGTTCGTTTGGTCGATGATTCCTAGATCACCTGTGCACTGTGCAGTTTGCGATGTGCGCTGTGCAGTGTGTGATTGCAGTGTGCGCTGTGCAGTGTGCAGTGTGCGCTGTGCAGTTTGCGATGTGCGCTGTGCAGTGTGCGCTGTGCAGTGTGTGATGTGCAGTGTGCGCTGTGCAGTGTGCAGTGAGCAGTGTGTGATGTGCAGATGTGTTAAGTCTGAGATGCCGGCGCCACTCGATGTTGGCCACTACCATCCGGCCGAACTGTAGGTAAGTGCGGCTTAAGTTTCGTTCCGGGCCCCGCAGACATGACAGGGACCGATGGTGAAGCGACAGGACACTCTCATCCCTTCCCCTCCCCCAGCTGCAGTCGATGTCACCGTATTTGGCAGATGAAGACACAATCGCATCATTCATATTCAAGTAAAATTAATTCAATTTGTTTAATCTTATGTTTTATTCATGATCAGTTACCGGCACTGGCTAATTTCAATTCTTTTGATATTTATTATTGCTATATTATACAATTTCACTGTAACCTAAACATAAAATTCCTTGTTAATCAAGATATATGGCCCTTAAGTACGAGTACGAGTGCGGTAGGTACTTAAGTACGGTACGAGTATTTCACTCATAGACCAAAGTTAACAACTTTTCCGCTGATTGTTCATTTCTACCGCGCTCACAGGCTTTTCTCCGTGATCTTCTCAAAGAAGCAAAGAAGTCTACTGAGGTATCTGAAGACAAGCTCATCGAATATACCGACACCATGGTAAGCAAAGAAGTTCGCCACCAATAATCTGAAGCCTAAAGTATGCGCCACTTATGTGAGCTTGAAGCTTTTATGCTAAGCTAATTCTTCATTGGTTATCACGAACTATTAGTTAAACAAACGACACAAATTTGCGTGGTTTGGCATCTTCGAATAAAATAGATGTGCCGCTATGCGCCTTTTTATTGAATATTTGAGCACCTAAAAAGAATGCTTGTTTTCTCATTTCATGTGATCGCAATAATATAAATATTTTATTGTTATTGCCGCAACAAAAGAGCGCCTCAAGATTCCATAACTGACCTCATTGTCGTCCTGTTGCAGCTTCAAGTGTTCGACGCCAACAAAGACGGAAAACTACAGCTCTCCGAAATGGCAAAGTAAGTTACATGTGACAGTGATAAATCAATATTTAGAAATGCATGCAAATCAAAACACCTTGTGTTTTTGGCATATAAAGCGGTCGTATAAAGCGGATACTAGCCGTTTTCACGACGGCCATCTGGTACACATTTGGTGCAAATTTGGTACAGATTAGGTGCAGCTTTGGTCAAATTAGGTTCAGTGTATCTCTTAGTAGCTAACAGGTAGGGTTGCGCTAATTGCTTATCTGCCTACTTTGTCATATTATCAGTGAGTATCATCGATAAAAACACTGACATAAATTTATAAAATAAAGATATTTGCTGTAAAAGAGATTAGGTGCAGATTTGGTCAAATTACGTTCATTTGCCGGATAGCCCGTCGTGAAAATGGCTATTGACTCTCTAAGCTTGATTGTCACTTTGATCTGACGACTTCCCACTGTGACCAAATTCTGGCTCGCATATAGTCTGGTCGCCTTATTTCGGCGATGATTCTTAGAAAGCAGAGCGAGCCCTGCCTGATATCCAACGCTGCTGTGCCCAAGGCTGTATAGGACGGTATGTAATGATTGTGCAGAGGAACGTTCCACGAGTGGACAAGTCATTAGTCATACATGCATTTTTTCAGGTTGTTGCCAGTAAAGGAGAACTTCCTTTGCCGATCGGTATTCAAGGTAAGAGAGGTAATAAACTGGTTGTATTTTTATCAATTTACGATGTAGCATGATCTTACATCTTCTTCATTCCGACAACATTGTTTCATTCTCGACAGCAATAGGGAGAGGGCTGATGCGACCCCCGCCCCTCGACTGTCTCGTTTTTTGCCTCTATCAGAAGTCAGCGATGGGAACATTCGCCTGTTTCTCTTGGCTAGAGCTGACTGACCACAGGCTCCTCATTTTACTGTACATCTGGTGACCTCAGGTCCACATAATGTGGCTGCCTTACCGGAAACACTGCTAAGGCTATTTGTTTTGCAGCTAAAGTTCAATTGCTGTTGGCTGGGAGCCAATCCATTTATCTAGACAGCAGCCATTTATTTAGGCAGATTTTTACCGCGCATTAATCGGCACAAAACAAAACAAAACAATCCGAATCATACAGATTTGAGCTTATGTGGCGAAAGCCGTTTAGGTTCATTTATAAATGCAGTCAGACAGGTTTTATTGAGCCTACTTTGGTTGCTGCTAATAAACCGGTGTGCATCCAACAACATGCTGAGCAGTAGAACAAAACGCCACGGATTCGTATTCCACCGACTACTCTGGAGGATGACGCCATGTTTTTTTTTTATTGATGGGAGCATCAGCCCACCCCCTGTCCTGACGAGGGAAATATAACACATTTACGCATTAGCATCTACATAAATGCGAGCTGAGCGTCGCTGGCTGTATTCGCCTTTGCTGTTTTTACTATTACTCTGTGCGAGCAGCGACATCACCTAGCGTGTGGGCAAGTCTTCAGGGAGGGTGGAAGGTGCTTATGTGCATCAAGAGCCAAAGCTTGCGCATCTTGTGCCGCTTGCGAAAATTTACTCATGCTGTCAAAGGTATTGCCATTTCTAAATAAGAATTACTTTTGCAATTTTATGCATTATTTGAATGATTTTACGTTTCCATTTATGTTCTGAATGGAGTACTTCCAAATTCTACTGGAATAAACGAGATTAGGAATAAATGTTAACGAGATTCAATCAACGAAAAAGTGCTCCTTCCCCAGTCATTAGACACCCAGCGATGGTCACCCTAAGGATCAGGCGGATGATGATGCGCACGGAACAATATCATTCCGAGACAGCTTTTTATCCCACCGTGCTCTACTTACATAATAATGAGAACAGTCGTGATGACTTGGTGGCTGCATCCAACGACAACCAGTTTGCAGCGAGGGGACATGAGACAATCTCCTGCGGACGTCGGGCATTTATAAACAATGCATGTGCTGACAGAAATTGAACAGGCCGGCGCCAATGTCGACCAACACAGATGTCAACTGCCAGACCAAAATTGCGGTCAAAAGCCACTTATAAGGCTAGCCAGTAACTAGGTACTGATACCAATATTATATCTACAATAATGTGGAAGTGATGCTCATTCCTAATTGTGATGCTCATTCCTCATTCAAGTTCCCGTTTCCGCTTTGGTTTATCTATACATCAACTTCTGGAAATAATGATGCAGAGCCTTCCCCCTTCTAACTTCAATTCAAAAGAAGGTTATTCAGTGACTACCATCCAATCGTCGTCTCCCGTAGATTGCCAAAATATCACATCATGGTGCGCGTATTGAATGTTTGTTGCAATTCTTAAAAGTGTATTACCAACCGATAATACCTAAAACCTACCCCAGGCTGCAATTGACAAGAAGGTACCTAACTAACCATATTTTCATAACAAATTAGTTAATGTACCTACCGCAGCTTTAAAGTTGCAATCGCTTCCAAATCCAAAGGCGCAGCCTATCCATTGGTAACACATTGACACCGGTAAAATGCCGCGGGTAGGAGATATCGCTTGAAATTAACGCCTGTCCCTCACTCAGGGCGATGCTGATTGGGTAAGACGCCTGGACTCTGATGCTTAGCTGTCAGTTTTGTGGTCCATTTTCTCACGCGCGCTTATTGCATAGTGGTCCATAGTCAAGTAGTATATAGTCTAGATAGTAGTCCACGTAGTCCGTCCATAAATATCCACAGCAATTGAAAAAACGAATGCTATCTTCACCATTTGTTTTAGCGTGCTAATAGGCTCATCGACCCTGTAGTTGACAGAGCACATTACGGGCTTCAGAAGAGTGTCGCCGAGCGCGGCGGGATGCGGGACCGGCGGTGAGTGAGGCGCTAACTGAGCCCAGGGACCGTCGTCTACCCTCCCCTGCCCTCTCTTCCCCCGGTGTCGGATCGTTCGCGACCCAGGCGGCTGGCCGGGGCTTGGCCGGAGCCTTCCTCCCGGCCCACTGAGCTACCGTGTAACGCAGTAAAGTAACTGTGTCACTAGGAGACAGTAGTGAAAGGCGAAGACAGAAGTGGCTGCGGTTTGTGATATAATGGACACTGACGGAGCCAGAAGACGTGCATTCAACCACGACTCGTCTGTAAATAGCGAAAATTTGGAATGCAGTTACCCTTATAAGCACACCCGTAGCGCCGATGCATCGTATTGTATACCTATCGTCCAAGTACCTGAATCCGCCAATGGCACTGGAACATAAGACAAATAACGCGGAAGACGATACATTTAATACACATTTTATCTGTGTTAAGGTCATGATAAGAGAAAGAACATCTGCGGACAAACTATTCGTACAAAAAGACGGACGAAGTTGAAACAATGCGCGAGTAAGCGGTAGGGGAGAGTGGGGTAATTTGGCCGGTGGTGTAAATTGGCCGCCCCCACCTGTACGATGTCTAATAAAAGTGAGTGAAATAACTCTAGTCTCTATTCATTTGTCATGGGTAGAAATAACTGGAGGACAAATGTCAAAACTTTGCCCCTCGTAGTTTTATTCAAAATTAATAAAACGTTAATTTCATTAGAAAATGGTAACTTTTACTTCTGTTTACAAAGTTGTATAACATGTAGTATTTGGGCTAAAAACGAATTCAGACATTATAGCGCCATTCTTGGGGGTGTTCAGCGGTTCCAAGAGCAATTTCATCTAATTCCGTATAGCCGTGATGACTTTATACACAAAAATTTTCAGAATGGCAATATGGGGTAATTTGGCCGGGACTAGCGGGGTAACTTGGCCGGTGCGCTCATGGTCACTATGCTGGGATGGCAGAGTTTTCATGGTCAATTGTACCATAAATGACTTGATTCATGACCAACTTTGACTACTTTGATGCCTTACTTCCGATTGGTCAACTGTAAGAGCATGTGACGTCATCAAAGGTTACCAAACGTTTTTTGCTAATAAATCCTTACATAAAAACGGTACAGCCGCACAAACGGCCTCATTCTGTTCAGCTCGCCAAGGCGCATCGAATGATATGCATGATGACCTTGAAATCACGTGACCTTGAGGTCAAGCGACCTGAGGTAACGTGACCTGAGGTCAACCTTTGACCTTGACTTCTCGAGGTCAACACATATATGTTTCGATGCGGAATGACGAGAGAATTACGATGGTACTCGAAGTTTTGGCCTAGCTTGATTACTTCAAAAGTTATTCGTAAAAAACTGTCTACGCATCTAGAGCCGCTAATTTGGCTATTTTGACCCCTGTGACCCCATGAGTCAACCTCCAAAATGTGGTAAATACGTCATAGGACACACGTCATTGCTGAATCTGAAGCTGACTCGCAATATAACAGAAAATCCCGACCGCAAACTAACACCGGCCAAATTGCCCCACACCCCCGGCCAAATAACCCTGCTAGTGGGGCAATTTGGCCGCCTTGCAGACCTTTGTAATACGTCACAATTTCAATATAAGTAATTACTCTATCATTTCAAGTTCACTGTCCAGTAAAGTAAAATGAATGCGACACCTGCCAGCGTTGAGGAAATGCAGAAATGTGTCGTCAATTTTAAGTTACATCGTTTTCTAAAAAAAGCGGCCAAATTACCCCACTCTCCCCTACGCTTAGTGCGGTATCCTTATACCAATGCATCTGCAGCTGTACGTGTACCATATATGTATGCATGTATGTAGTCATTCGTGTGCATGTTAATGTTTGTTTGTGCCAATATCCGTTTAAATTGCAGAACCCGAGTATTCGCATGTAGGTGTCACTTTTGGTACTTTTTGGTAGTCACGAATGACGAACCAAATTTAAGCAATGGTCAAAATAGAATCACTTTTAGAAAATGAAATGCTCCATGAGTTCGGATGAGATACAAACAACGGGTTAAATCATCATGTCTGGTGTTTCCAGTGGTTGGTAAGCGCAATCTTTCCGCTGCAGTGTGAATATGCTTTATCAAGGGCGATATAAATAAACGGCTGAGTTACGTCCGGTATAAAGGACAAGGAATGGATGGTGTAAAGAGATATGTCATATGAATACCCTTTAGTTACTGTTCAGTGTGTTCACGTTCAGCCTAAGCTGTATGTCTGCAGCTTTTTTATTTTAATAAATCATATAACTGACCCCATTTCCCGTTGAGCCCCTTATCTAAGCCGCATGACTGACATTTTCCAATTGTCAGGGAGCCTCCAAACTCACCCGAGATGACATCGAACGAGTATTTGCGCTCTACGACAGGGTGAGTCCAGAGCGAAGCGCTCTCAACGATTCAGTTTAAATGAAATGGGTTTGATGGAACTTGGAAGCGTTCTCGGGAACACGGTATCTGATGCTCTAGCTGTAACATGCCATTTATTTTGTTGCAGCCAGGAGCGAAATAGATTGCAACGTTAAGCGTACACGTTTTGCTCGAATATAGTCACAAGAAGCCAATGTCTCAGTTGAGAAACTATTAAGAGGACATTTGGAACAAACCCTGTGCTGATGTTTCATTAATGCTTGGTGCAATTTTCACCCAATTACAGGTACTCACACCTTGTGAACTATCCACAGTTCTGTTCTTTTTCTCACATGACGTTACATTTTAGGACAACAGCGGCACCATCGAAGATGACGAGTTGACAGGCTTCCTGAAAGACCTGCTGGAGCTGGTTAAAAAGGTAAAACTGAATTAATCATGGTCAATAACCGGTTGACATATATATGAGCTCCTGCTTAGGATTGATTCCGTTTTAAATGCAAAAGTTGTTTCCGGCCGTTTGGTATCTATTCCTACCATTGCCACTTGATATAGGTAGGTTGCAAGAAGTCCTTTTCTTTCGGCAGGACTACGACGCCAAGGATCTGGATGAGTTCCAGGAGACCATCCTACGAGGCTGCGACTTCAATCGTGACGGCAAAATAAACAAGAAGGAGCTTACCATGATCCTGATGGCGCTCTCCAAACACAACGACGATGACACTCAGCAACAGTAAGGGTTCAGTGGTATCCATGAAGCAGCCTGATACCTAATTAAAAAGTTGACCTTTAAAGGTCAATGTTGGTAGTTGCGTATAACTCGGCCCGTCTTGATGCCTATGTTCTTTGAAATTATTGAAGCACCAAATTACTTAAAGCCACGAATGTCCTCCGCCTCGGTTGCCATTTCTGAAAATCAAATTATTGCCTGCTGCATGAGCATACCGACATGTGTGCTTGAAATTGCATATGCCGAAATATCAACTGCCAGTGGCTCCTCCGTCTCCCCATTTTAAAGAGCATGCAACGCTGGCGATCAGTTCTTTCGCATGACTTTTTCAACATGACTACTGTTTTTTTATACGAATGACAGTTATGCTTATTACCTACACATGATTTATATTCCATCATTTTTTCGCAAGTAAAGTTAATTTTATTCTTATTGATGTGCAGCCTGTAAAGGAAGGAAGAAGACCATACACAAATAATTAAGTTTCAGTTGTACTTGCAAGCAGCCGTGGCATGTTCCGCTTCCTGACCTCATGCTCACCAGTGTCGGCTGATGCTTCTTGATGTCAAGATAACTTTCTGTGTTCCTTTTGCGCTTTTTAAATGCCATTTTTGCCCTTCGCTCGCTCTATGTTTCTGTGCTGCAGCAGAACGCTTAATTTATGTCCGGCGCTTCACACACTTGCTGATTTTTGCAGCATGTCTGACCTTGGCTTCTAGTCTGGCCTTCTTCGCGAAGCCGTCTAACTATGGACGTAAGTATGTTTCAAAATGTTGTTCCATTTTTCCATTATCTCAGTCTTAACGGTGTTTACATGCCGTTAGCCCTGTTTTTAGGTTAAACTAGTGGAAGGGGTAGGTAGCAATGCATGTTATAACTTCATCAACATTCAACAATTCAGCCCGAGCTGCCCTCCTACAATATATACCGCATAAATCCACATCCTACAACTTACCGACAACCTACAAAACTATCGTCCTTTCTTCTTTTAAGAAATGCACAATACCTAAGCGCAGACCTGCCTCGATATACCTACATCATTGCTTATTACCCACGTCCTGACTCACCTCACAACACGCTCCCTTCGGCCAGGCTGATGTGCCATGCTGATCCCGTTAGCTGTTTACCAGTTCGGTCACGATGACACTGACACCGTCCAGCTGCTGGCTAAGCTGTGGAGCAGACGAAAGCCATTTGTGAAGGCAGTTGAGAAGCTACGCGTCGCAGAGCACATCGAGATTTTCGGATGCACTAAAAAAGACAGCACCGAAATATATTCAAGGCGGAAAAACACATAGCCAAAGGTGGAAGGTAGGTATATGACACACATGAGACGAACGTCATGTTAAGATCGAGATAGCAGCACTAGCAAAAGAACCATATTGCCAAGGAACGAAGTCTGAACTCTGAGTACTGCGGTAGAAGCAATGAGACGCCTAAATGAAAGCACGCTTTCACGTTTTAGACGCTGTGAAGCTGATCTGACTGCACTGCTCGTTCTTTCTTCGCCATGACTGCAAACGCCGGAGCGCAGTCTAAGCTCGCTTCGCCGCCTGAAAACGTGACTGCGATCCGAGATGAGCGAGACACTACTGAATTCGATGCAGCCACGTCCACGGCGACCTGCTGGCCTCTAGGTGCTAACCGAGCGGCGGCGACATTCATCAGACTGAAGTGTGCTTCCAAGAAGCCGATTAGCAGCGGCGATTCGGAAAATTGGGATAAAATATAGCCAAAGCGTCAGCTTGGCTTGGCTATCGAAGGGAGTTGTTCCGTTGGCCCACAAACTTGCCCCGCTCTTGGCTTAACATTTTTTTTTTGTGGGCATCAGGGGTTTCGGGTGGATAATGGAGAAAATTCGAATCGAGCGGACTGGAAGTTCATGGGCCTGCGTGTCGAGCTTCAACCGTACCGACAGAGCGGAGCTTCAATAAACAGTCGTGAAGTGAAATCTACGACTGGAATCACTTGTTGCAGGGCCACTAGATAACCGTTAATTTCGGCTTGTACATAATTAAATATGTGAATTTTGGAAGCTGTAGGTAGTCACTGCAACGCAACCAGGTATTGAGTAACGCACCTTACCTAAGCATTAGCAAAGTAATCGAAACTGGCAAAAACTGGGCCTAAAAGTTTGATGAAGTAGGTAGGTAAGTGCAATTACTTGTAACTAGTAAATTAAACACCCGTGATCTAAATGCATTACGCCGCGCGGCTGGACACCTCGGCACGCGACTGACGTCCGCTCCGCCGTGGATATCTGCATTATAGAGATCTTATGATCCGTAAGAGATCTTATCTTATACCTAATACCTACCTAATATCTCTATGGATATCCGCATAAATTTCTATCTAGATTTTGGCAGCTAGGTCAGTCTGACCAAGAGACAATAGCGTGCATATTCCGTGCATATTAAGATATTATATTCCACGAAATGACTTAGTGCAACCGTTTCAGCTAACGCAGCAAAGTGCTCCATTTATTACGTGGCCGATTCATTGGTTTTGCCTTTGATTGCCGTATAATTGGTAATTTATAACATGGTCAGACTTTATTCCTCCAGACGGTCGACTGACTTCAGTGCCATTCGACCATTACCGGAAAAAGTTGCCGGCCTTACAGACTTACGCGTAGAATAACTATGCAAGAGAAGAGGTAACTGTCTGTGAAAGTAAATAGTTACTGGAAGGCGGAAGCATGGAATCCGTCATACGTTGCTAGTTACCCGTCATACCTCACGTTCGTTATAGAGAAGCGGTCACTGACACTGGCTGCATTTCCTCGTGGCACGCTATTGGAATGCAGGAGGAAGAAGGGACATGAATATTAACAGTCGTTTTATCGTTCTAGGAGCGCCATCAGCGAGATCACCAGTTTCGGCATGCGAGCGATTCGTATGCAGAAGCTGCGCGTGCGTCACTTGGTGAACCGCACGCTCGGCGCCTCCTCACCTGTGCCCAAGGGCGCGGCCAGCAGCTAGTCTCCCGGACTCGTGATGGCGAGCACTGAGCGGGCGCACAGTTGGCGACTCGAGGTGACTGGTTGGACGAGCTCGGTCCGACGAGCGCCGGCCATGGGACTGCGTTTTACGTACATGGACGTTTTGGGGTGAAATTCCGGTGTGTTGCTGCAAATATTGTGTAACAGAATTGTTTACAATAGGTGTAGTTCGTTATAGATATGTAAACTTCTTGATATCGATGTCTTTGTCTGTCATACATCGACATATCTGTCGTGTCATCTTACTCGAAATACTGATATTCTAAGACTATGCGATGAAGCATAAGGCAAAGTCTAACTAGATGCATTTCGGGTGTAAGACTTCGGGCACGGAATATATAGTCTAACGATGTAATGTCGCTAGACTAATATGTCGTTAGTCCAACGACGCAATGCATAGTCTAAAGAATATATATCGCTAGACGATACATTCCGTGCTTCGGGCTTTTATTCCCTGATGCTGATAGGGGAAAGTGGGGTAAGACGGTCAGGGTAGGTAAGACGGGCACCCCTTCTGCAGACCAAACCAATAGCGCTACGAGCGAGAAAAATTAGGACCAGAATTGTCTTTCCCACTACACACCACCATTGAAGTTTGGTGATTTTGTGTTCAGTCGATAATCTTTTATTTTGATTTCTTTAAAACACTAATTTCATTGAAAACATCCATAATGTATTGTGCAAGTTTTTGTGTGCAGCACTATACAGCTAAAAACTCGCAATCACTTGTGGTACACTCATATGCCACCAGTGTTCATTTACCGCGGATTTGCTTTGTCTGCATCAAATTGTCCACAGAGAAAAATTGTGCTGAACTTCTTACATTGAGTTAGGGGTAAGACGGACAACTATGAATCCAATGGGTCTGTAATGGTGAAAATATTTTTGTTGCTGTAGGAAAAAAAGAAGCATTTCTTATAAGAATATCTTCGATTCCGATACTCACAGACATGTTAGCAATATTCCTTCGGCACAGTTTATTCTCGAATGATGAATGTGAAAAACGGTTCTACATGACTTCTGATCTAGGGCCTATATACGAGCATACGCCTTCTGCACAAATCTTGTATACTGCCATTTCCGAGGCACTTGAGACCAACGAGCGACTGTATCAATGCAGCTAATTTCGGGCATTTGTTGCGAGCTGTACTGGTCGGTGAAAGAAGCTGGCCGTCTTGCCCTACCCATGTGACCGTCTTACCCCATGGGGTGGGGTAAGACGGGTTTTTGCAAGGTTTTGCAAAAATAGCTGCAGTTTATTTGTTGAATCAGGTCTAAGTCTCATCTTCTGGCAAATGGAAGTAAAATGTCTAAAAGAGGTTTTCACTCAGTTTCCCGTTTCTATGATGTTTCTAACCGGCCGAAAAATGGCTCCAAAGTTAAGGTGTCCGTCTTACCCCACTTTCCCCTAATCTTGTTATCAACTGAATGTGCTTACATAGACGAGGTATGATTCGACATGTTCTTGCTCGTTCTTACCATCTCTTGTGAAAAGAAATAAATGGTTGATCGAAACTATCGTTGTGCTCCTTTTTACTGTTGACTTCCGTATCATCTGAAGCACCTGAATGTTACATGTTTGTCACGATTCACACCACGCCTTCGAGTCTAACACATATCTGCACACACGGCTGGTACTAGGCGGACGAAACTATAATTTGGCCCTTGAACCTTATCTGCAAGAATCTTGACTAATAATCGTCGAGCTCACCAGCGGGCTAATACAATTAATACAGTTCATAGGTATACCGTATATCGACGTCGGTAATGACTAGGCTCAAGGCTATGTAAACCACTCGGCTCAAGCTATCTCCAGTCCGTAACCTATACTGCTCAGTCACATCACATGGGTTGCCTCTACGATAATTTCCACAAAATATATAGCAACATTAGAACACGATATATTGTGGTGTAAATTGATACCATTCCGTTGGTCGGCGGTGACGTTATCGATGACAGGTGACAACGTTAATTTGACCCCTCGAGGTCACTTGATTTCACCATAAGCAAACCAGCCGATGGAATCGCATCCAGCAAATCGACTTCATAGTGGCATTTTTGTCTCGATCGACCCGGTAGTTGCTGGGTTAGGTATAGGATAGCTTCAATAGGCGGAGCCGTTCAGTTGACCTCTCAGTTCATCGAGGTCACCTGAGGTGACAACATTCACAACAGCTTCCCTTAACCCTATTCCTGGCGGGCTCCGCCGGGACAAGAAACTGGCGGGGGGGGGCCGATTCGGCCCCCCTTCAGATCTCAAAAACTAGGTATACATCGCAGCGACAAACGGCAAACGGCGTTTGATAGGTCGTTTAAAGATCTACAACTTTTACATAAAACATTTTCAGGTCAGGTCAATATGGAGGTCACCAGAGGTCATCAACGATAAAATGTTTTGGAATTAGTTACCTACATAACTTTTAAACTAAGGGGCCCAAATACAGGACCATGTGGTGGCCCGTAAGCCAAAAATACCCATGAAACATAGAGACATAAAACTAATACATTTTTTGTTGCTCTCGCCGAGGCGATGCGAAATAAGTAGGGTAGACCGGGGGAAGTCGCCCCGCCGAGGTAAAACGCCTCACCGATGTTTCTCGGAACTGGCAAGGTTCTGGGGAAACATTCTCTCTTCTTTAAAACGTGCACTATATGATAATTATATGAGCAGACTGGAAAGATATTGTGATAACTCTTTAGGGAGATATAGCCAAAAATTTGTTTTTGGAGTGATTTTTATGTTTTGTAGTCAGATTATGCATCATGGCGTTCTTTTATGGTTCACATCAGGTTAACGACTTTTATGTATTTTGAACAACTATTGTTTTACGCTTATAATGCTGGGTTGGTCCGTTTTAAATTATGCCTTGCTGGAGTGCAAGGCGTTGTTCTCTGACCAAACTACGTGATGGGGTAAAACGCCCCAGTAGGTCGCGGGGCAAAAAGCCCCATGGGGCGTTTTACCTCATGTATTGTTCCGACTACCCACTTCCTAATGTTCGGTTGCTGGCGAACAGTAAGTTTCTATGCAATTTTATGTACCTTTCTCAGCAAATTAATGACAAAGGAAGTATTTTGTTAACATTTGCATTGCAATAATTTATTATTTGGCCTTATGAGGCAGGTGAAAAACCTGTACATACAATAGTGTCATAGCTGAACACCTGACAGGATGGAAGGTGTTAACTTCAGTGCCGTGCCTCCCAAGGTCTAACGGGCCTCTCATATAAGATTTAGTCAACTAGCATGTTCAATCTTTAATCTAGAGTATGGGGCGTCTTGCCCCAGGCCGTGGGGCGTTTTGCCCTGGGGTTGGGGCAAAATGCCCCATTTGCAGTTGGTTCACAAATCACTTCCTAGCTGGGAGTCCGATCATAAATGAATGAATTTGAGGGGTGGAATTTAAAGTAAAATGTCCAAAGAACGCATTGAGCACAAATTTGGCCTTCCAGGTGATGTGGGACAAAAGTTATGTAGCAAAATAAATTATCTGGGGCGTCTTGCCCCAGGCTACCCTATGTGATGACCTTCACAGGTCAATTTGAAATTTGACCTGAGGTCAAGGTCAGGTCATTCATCAATGAGGTTGTGGGGTATGGTCATGCTGCATACCAAACGACGCGCCTTGACCAGGCGAGTAGTTTGGTACCACTTACAAGTCTTTAGCACCATCATGTCGTGATTTATTGACAGAAAAACGATTTATGACGTCACATGACCTCAGATGACCTTTGCCGGTGCCCCTGTCAATTAGCGGCACCAGGATCATCACTGATGAGATAATCTTCCATAATACTGAAAGAATTGGGTGGTTTTGACTCGTTTACACGAAGCAGGAGGCGTTTCAATATTTTCCCATAGGCTTGCAATGTAAAGGTCACGAGTCTAGCTAGCCTGACTTCAGGTCACATATATGAAAATTCTGACATGTACAAATTGCACATACTGGTACCCTAACTAAAACCTGAATAGAAGAAATTGATCGGTCAAAAACTCTAGCTCTGGCGTGATTGCAAACTTTTCTGAGGTGGGGTCACCAAACCGCCTCTGGTGACCTGACCTGACCTGACCCGGCAACTTTTTTTGTCAAAATGTGCGCAATGAATGTTTAGAAAAAGTCACCGAGTATGAGCTTTCAGTCTTGCGGCGTTCGGCAATGGCACAAGAAAAACCTGAAGGGGGGGGGGGGCCTTAACCCGGCAGTTGCTGGGGTATTTCGCCACCCACCGTTTGCTGGGGAGGGGCGTTAAACGCCCCCAGCCGATAACTCGAGAACCGATAGGCGCAGCGAAACGCACGAGGCGGCAAACGAAAGAACGCGACGAGGCGCTTCAGATGAGTACCTTAAAGTTGAATTTTGAGGTCACAGGTCAGGTCAAGGTCAGTTCAAACACCTGAAATCGGGCTTTCAGTAGCATGGACTTCAGGACTTCGCAATGGGCGCCTCTCGTCATAAGCTCTGTCAAAACGGTGCACAATCCATCATATAAGGCCTACAAGAGTGTCAGCTCCATGTAGGGGTCAGTCAAGCATAGGTCAGGGTCAAGGTCAGGTCAACCGGGTAGGCACATATCCCCGAAAATCAAAACTGATATTTGCAGCCTGTGACACATGTTTTATGGGTAATTTGGGGCGTAGAACACGATGGTGACATTCATTTTATCATATGTGTACGTGTTTGGCTCAAAAAGTTCAATTTAAGAAATGCATGTATCATGGTCGTGAATTGGTCACGAGAAATTGCCAAGATTCAGTTCAAGATTTTGGAAACTGCGGAACGATAATCAATAATCGAAGATAGCCATTTGATTGTTCATGGTTTTGGCAGTCTAATGGCGTTTACGGCATGTCTGTATGTCTATTCAGTGATTTTATATGATTTTTCGAACATATGCCGTTTTTGGTCGTAAACTCAGAAATCATGACGTCACTAAAACCTCGATATCTCAAAAATTTTCCGACCGATATTTTTGAAACTTTGTCACAATAAACTTCAATCAATTCCCTACAGGTACCCAAAATTTGGCGCGCCTGCGGCGCGCCGTTTTTATGCTATAGCCCAGCGAAAAAAGTGGGGGCGTTTAACGCCCCCCCCCCAGCAACTCGCGGGTTAAAGGCCCCCGCCAGGAATAGGGTTAAAACCTACATGTGTATATAGGTATGATGTAGGTACATATAGTACATAACATACATATACATAACTACCTACTAGCATAAAATAGCATAAACAGCATAAAATTTATCTTCAATAGCTATGGTTGAGCAGTTTGGCACAGGATGTGTACTGTGGATTGCTGTCATGTCTTTTTTTCGAGCACCGTCTCAAGATACTCAATAAAAAGGGTTCGAGCTCAGCGTCAAATCCTTTGAGCGAAGAGCTCTGCCGGGCCAACTGCTGTCATGCACAATGCCGTGACCGAGCATTTGGCAGGTTTCATGCGTGGAGCATTTCGTAACGGCTTTCGTGTTGTCTTACCTTGCAGGAAGCGCTGGGCATTGCATAACGACAATTCCAGTGTGACTCTGCAGCCTGCCATGTCCCAGCCTGCCCCCAAATAAGGCCGGAGCGCCACTCCCGTGTTGCCGGGCCACCGCTGAGGCACTCTGAGCCGCATTGACCACCCGGTGCTACTCGAGAGGGGCGCTGATTGGAGAGGAAAGCTGCAGCCGCCTACTCACGGACCTTCATGAGCTTTTGCAATAACATTTATATTCCGCCAGTCTACAGGTCTTCCGTGTGACCTACCTGTTGGGTAAAGCGCCCGTCTTCCGTCGGTAGCTAGCAAAAATTGTTAGTCCCCATCCAGCTATGCATCGCAAAATAATCGGATAAGCCGAAGAAAAAAAAATCGGAAGACATACGTGACCTGTCGAGGTCGATCTCGCTAACTCCGGTGACAGCTTATGTCACTCGGTAGCGGGAGTGAGGAACCAAAAGTACAGGTAATGAATTCTAGTGCGAATCCAGCTTGTTCTTGGAAACATTCAAGGGTGGCGAACGAACAGCTGTTGACAGGGCATACCCATGATTTACACACCGGATGGCCATATAACCCGATAGACCAGGCGATTTTTTCTAAGCCCCAGTGAGTGACTCCGTGAACCGACGGTGCTTCTCCGAAGAAAGAAGCCCACGTAATCGTGCAGCACCTTATAAAACGTGAAACATCAGATAAAAATCTATGGATATAGTCTCACTCTCTACATTACATAACCAGTAAAACGCCTTTTGGGCGAAGAACGAGCGAGCGAGATAGTGAGCCCTGCACGTGCGAAAGGGCGAGAGGGTGCTTCCAACGGGCTTGCGCAAAGCACCCTTCTAACCGGTCGCTAGCGGTGTGCCAAATTTGAACGCAATCGGCCCAGCCGTTCCTGAGATCTGGAAGCGGCATTCTGCACGTGCGCACGTGCAAACGGGGTCCAGAATGACTTTTGCACGGCACCCTACTAACTGGTCCCCAACCGTGTACCAAATTTGAGCGCAATCGGCCCAGCCGTTCTCGAGATCTGGAAACGCCCCCCACACGTGCGCACGTGCAGTAGCACCCTAACCGCAACACATGGGAATGCATTGCCTGGTGGGTGCCTACCTGTATGCCAAGTTTCAGCGAAATCGCCCCAGTAATTACCGAGTTACTGAAATGGGAACAAATTTGGCACCTCTTATTGTTGTATTTTGCACGTGCACTGGGGGTGACCCACATGCTTCGAGAGTATCCTATTTTGGGTAGAAGGGATGCTGCTACCCTACAAAAATTACCGTAAGTCAATCGCCCAAGCGGCTGCTGAGATATGAGCCTCTCAAAATCACTACTTTTGCAAAACAGCTTGAACACCCTCGACTTTTCACGTGGCTGGCACGTGCCACGACGGTCACTGAGATGCATCAAAAGTAGTCAATTACGGGGTAGAAGGGATTGGGCTACCCAACAAAAAAGACCGCAGGCCAATCGGTCCAGCGGTTGCTGAGATATAAGCCTCTCAAAAGCGTTACAGGCCGGGCCGGGCCGGGCCGCTCATACTGAGATTTTTCCGTTATATTGAAAAGACTCACTTCGCTCGCTGCGCTCGCTCGCTCGTAATAAACAGCGGTACCTTTTCTGTAATCATTATTCAGCCTTTCAAGGCCAGTCAAAGACAACAGTCAATTGTATCGTCAATTTGGACCGATGTAGTCCGTTTATTAGAAGACATCTTTCCGGTATTTATACTCACTTATGACCGATTTTTGACAATGCTCAATAAATACTCAACACTTATTTCCGACAAGCAGGTGCACATCAAATGAATAAACATCACGGAATGTATATCGTTCAATCACAACACATCATTTTACTTTCCCCAAACGAGAGGACGCTTTTACCCCATTTAATCACATAGCTTCAGCTCCAGACCCTCGCCGATACTCATGTGCGGTTCCACAGACTTGAAGAAATCACAAACATTCAGGCCATTGATTAAATAGATAAAATTAAAATAAACTGACTAACCAATCTCATAAAATTCAGATAAATAATAGTCGATATCCGGCTAGGGCTAACTCCCACACGCGACTAGGGTCGTAGCGCTGGAAGCACGTCGGCCACCCGGTTGACCCAGAGATTGGCGCAGCACGCGTGGTACTGGTGGCCGGCGCAGGCCAGTGTCGGCTCGTCACCGGCCGCCTCCTCGGCGGGCAGCAGACACACGCCGCAGTAGGCTGGCGAAGACGCGCCCACCTCCGACCAACAGTCGCGCACCTCTGACGCAGTCTGGGAAACGTTAAGTATCGATATCAATGGTTTGGAACTCGAAAGGTAGTCGTGGTAATGACGTAGCTATAAGGAACTGGGCACTGGAGTACAAAACACGATCAAACCTGAATGCTACGAATTCCTTTGAGAGTTTCAAGCAATCTGGAGTTAAGATTGGCGCTTTTTGCTCGTTAGGTCAAGATACTTCCCATTATAGCATCATTCCCAAACGCCACTGGGAAGCAGGAGTACCCGACCCCGACATGGAGTCGTCAACAATCGACACACCTCTCCCGCTAGTCAACTATAACTGGCTACGGTAAGGTTAGAAGAGTCAGACAGAGAACATTTTTCGACAAGAGATCCTCTGGCCTGGGTAAAGTTTGAGCTAGCGACATCAAATTCGGTACACTGGTAGAACTCGACAAGCGCTACAAGGCCATGTAAAAATGGTCGTGGTGGGGTGCACGGTGCACGTACTATGCACGTGCCAGCAGTTTTCACCCCTCCTAGGTATTGCCAGGGCTGTAGACCAAGTGGCCAAGTGGCAAGGGTAAGATAGCACGACATGATCATTTTCGTCGGTTGTTTCGACTGTCCTTGTCAGGCTACAGTAACTCAAGAAACGCGTTAAGTTAAGAATATTTTTTATTTAAACCAATGAAATTGAGAAGGTAGAGCTCAAATGTTTTATTTAGAATGTCAAAATATACGTACCTAGCTGTCTATCACAAACGGCGTCGTCATATTCTGTAATGAATGGCTCGCTCACCAGGCGTGTCCTCGAGCAGTTTTACCCGCCGAGCTGAGACCACACCCTGTTCCCTCACCTGGGCGGGCGAATTGGCCACGAACGACGTCAGGTTGGCCCAGGCTTTGCAGGTCTCGGAGAGCACCAGTTCCAGCTCCTTCACACAGCTGTGCCGCTCGCAGGCCCGCTCGATCCGGCTGGCCACCCGATACACGCGGCTCAGGTCTGGTGGACGAGTAGGTACAATCTCAGTCACACAGTTCGTCAATGTAACGGCATCAACACAGGCCCGCCAGCTGCAGTGACCCGACGCGCATAATTAAACAATGTACTGTGGACAGTAAAACGATTTAGAAGCGTCCTTGCACGGAAGAAGCAATGGACCCCATTGTGACAATAATTGGGCAAGGGATCTATCAACGAACGAATACTTAAAGGGACTGTCCCACCTTTGCATTAGTTCTGAGTTGAGATAGCCAAGTTGGCGGCCAGGTTCAGAAACCAATATAGGGGAAGCCGGGGGAAGCCCGGGCGCGGGGGAAGCCCGGCCACCCCGTTTCCGGCTAAATTATTCACAATAAAATGCTCAACTGTTTGTCCTTTCAGCGTGGCAGCTAAGGTAACGCCAGCAAAAAAGTTAAGGCTAACAAAAATTGCATATTGTTAAAGTTATAGCGCAAAAATGATATTTTAAGGGTTTTTAGCTAAAAAGTGAGATATGTTGCACTGTTAATGTTATACCATACAGTACTAATATTTATACGAATGTTATGTAAGGACCGTTTAAGTGTTTGTAGTGAGGGGTGACGAGGCAGGCTGGCTTAAGTATGACATTTTTTCGAATATCGCTGTTCTAAAATAAAAATTAGCACATTGGGGTAACCCCGGGCGAGTGGCCAAGCTTACCCCCAACCGAGAGCAATGCCACTAAACCACTATTTTCCATGAGATAATAGTTACTGAGCAGAATTGGTTTACACCTAGATCAAAGATAAATTTCGAAAATAAGCATGTTATCATAGACAAAGCCAGTCATGTCACTTAAGGTCAACTAGGGTCAAACTACGTTTTGGCCGATAACGCGACAGACAATGAAGCTAGAGCTTCAAAAATGGTGTCGTTGTGTTCTTCTTCATCAGCCGAGTCGAATGATATGCAATATGATGCATTAGGGTAAAAAGAAAAATAAATTTTAAGGAGTTTTGAAATACACATTTTTTGTCAATTTTGCATCACGATTTTCATCGACCTGTACTGTATATGTGGTAGACGCTAGCTAAAATACCAGTAGTGACATAAACTCTAAGATGTCCAGAGCTAATCAGTACCTTAATATTTCACTTTCCGTTAATATTTGGAAGACACATAATGGTTTCATCAACTCGTTGTAAAGCGCTGGGGAGGTGGCCGGCGTTACCCCTATGCCGGGCTTACCCCAGAAAAATCAACACTTTTTTAAAACTCGATTTTCTCAACCTTATACTTATTCCACGAAACCGAATTTTTGGGAAGACACGGCCAATGAACTTAGCTAGCTAACAGGATATCAACATTTTATACAGCACGTATGGTATGTAATAAAAATGAAAAAGAGCTTACTATGCCGGGCTTCCCCCGGCTTCCCCTATATCCTGGTCGCAATATCCTCAGCTTCGTGGTGTTAAAGAAATTCGTTCCCTTTATTTGAAAAGTGGGCCTTAGCTAAGGCCCTATCTCTTCACCATTAACGGCGCTCTGATGACGTCATCAGCCGTTTGAACGCCAGAACCTGTTTTACGAATAAGTTGGAAGAACTACAAAATGCCTTATCAGAGACACTTTTGTTATTGTATGAGCCGCGTCATATTTGAAAGCAAATATATTTGCTGCCAAATTTCCCCCTCATTGGTGTAACAGCTGGAAGCTGTGACATTTTTTTTTCTCCGTACGTCAAAAAGGACATCTCTCACACTCTATACGTAAGGACGATCGCACTGCCTGCCGCGGCGCTGAGCCGGCGTGGGGAGGGAGTCGACCATACGATCCCCCGACCCGTCGGCCGGTCACCATTAAGCGAAGATCAAAGGCTCGCCGAAGGGTGGAGTACAAACACACCCATCCGGGCCGGCGCAGCTACCGCCGACGAACGCGGCGCAGTCGGAACCACCTGCCCTCCGGTGCTGGCTAGTGCGAAAAACGCCGCGTCCGGCACAGGCAGGGACCGACATCCGGCGAAAATCGAGTGTGAAAACGTCATCCGGCAGGAGACAGCTGAGACGGATGAGCCGTGCTAGTGAGGAAGACGTCACGTTCCGGCGGAATGGAGGAGGAGGACGACGGTCTCGACTCCGGATGCGAGACGGGATGTCGCCAATTTTCTGCCCCGGTCGGGGAGGCCCGGCGACGCCCGGAACCTCCGGCCCGGAAATCACAGGCGAACAAAACTCAGCGGAGAAGGAGAGAGGGGAACAGACTACGGGATCAGACCACGAGTGACAGACAGACCCGAGACCGACCATCGGAGGCCGACCACCAGGGACAGAACGCCTCGGGACTCGGCGCGGGACACCGCCCCGCCCGGCTTCGGCCGGAGCGGCCTCTCTGCTGATCGGATCATCACTGCACCGGACCTCAACTGGAGTGGACAGCAATCATCAAACACTGTCAAGTGAGTCATCTCATCTGTCCGCCTCATCAAGACTGCCTCCCCGTCATGGACAATTCAACCTCCCATTCACCCATCGGATGTCTCTGATCTGGATTACAAATGCCACTCCCTGGGGTCTAACCTGAGCCACCATTAGAGGGTAATGGATTTAACATCGTGGGAGTGTTACTCGACTGGGAAGGGGAGGGCAGATGGTCGCTACATTCCGCTCCCGACCGAGCAGCGCGGCAGTGGGGCGTCTGTTTGTAAAGGCGGGAAGGGGCTAATGGGCCTGACTGGTCCGGCCTTGTCTATGGGATAGACAGAGGGGTTAGAGGGACAGCCAGGGCGGGTCAGTAATGGTCAGTGTAGGCTAATGGCTCACCATTACATTGGTATTGGGGGAGCGCTATCCGTCGGCCATCGCGCGCGCGGTCTGGCCGCAGTGAGGTGTGGGATTCAATGTATGAGGGGAGGGGAACAGGTCAGGTGGTGTCATTTTTGGGGCGCTGGTCACTATTGACGCGTCAAACTACGTCAGATGACGTCATGACGGTTCAATTCGCGATGGTTTGTAATTAAGTTCTCTGCAGTTAGGGCGTTAGGATTAGATTTAAGGCTAAGTTGGCATTGGCGAGCTGACAACCGATCGTGGTACACCGGTTGAAAATGACCAGCATTGTATCGTCCGTTTGTAAATATAGCGTGAAAATTCAATAATCTGTCTGGGAAAGAAGGGAGGGTTACTCCGGATATGTTGCTGATTCGGATTCACAGAGACCGCTAACGTAATTATCTTTAAGTTGTCACGTCGACCACACGACCGTACGCCGGCATCACATCACAGGCTCAACGGGACTACACCGCGGCGATCTGATCACGAATCAACGTAAACGCAATGACACGCCCTCACGACGCGACCACCACAAATTCGTTTTTTTTTTTTTGCTAGTAGGTCAGCATAAGCTGTTTCATAATCTAACTAGTTTGGACCCGGTAGACCAGCGTTTCAATCCATTATCAATCTAGTGTTACAGTCACAATTGGATAAGGAGAGTAAAACATCGTAAACGTTAAACATTATTCTGCTCCTTCGGCAGCCCAGCGCCAGAACAAGAACATGGGGAAACTGAATCGCCTTCCGGTTCGTTATTAAATCAGCCTTGAGCCGTTTCGTGACTCGAGTTTATATAGACGAAGCCAAGCTGAATCGCCATTTCAATCGTTATAAATTGATCGCTGTTCGGAATATGTCCATCAATTTCCTTTCTCTCCTAGCATTATCGGTATTTAACAGATGTCGATGCTCGCTCCCTTCGAGGCATATCAAAGATTAACGTACAAATGCCACGGTTGTTAAGTTGATGCATCATTTGAGACAATTTAATCATAAACGTCAAGAGAGTTACCGTTCAATATGACGTGAAAATGTCACCCTGGTTGTACACAACTAGAGTTGGTTACGGAGGGAAGCGAGAAATTATCACCGCCCATTAATCACCATTCAGGTATGATAAGGACCGTTTTGTTCAGATCGGATTACTGAACAGTCTGCAGACCCCAATTAATTGACAGGAACCATGTAACGTGCACGGTCACACCACGCATTATGCCGCCGGGCAGCATTTGCCTACACTTCCAACCCACTCGAGTTAGTTAACACCGGGATCGTGAACATGACCACGCCCACCCGTTCCTTGAAGTAATTTGTAATTAATTTTGGGAGTATGTTGGGCCCCGTGAGTTTTACTAAAAACTGAGCGATTGTAGTCCGCGCGAAATGAAAAATGTATGACCCTTGACCTTAACATGACCTTAAACAATTAACAGGTCAATTGACGCACCAACGGTAGCACCACTAGCGCCACCTACAAGGTCTAATGCCTTCGGTGCAAACTCCGACAGCGCTCAGATGCAGCTGACAGTACTAGCAGTGCCGCCTAGCGTGAAATAGACCAAGCTGGTTCCCTAAACTGCCGCAAGAGGTCCCTCGTGTCGACACGCAATTGCGTGTGACTGACTGAAATGAGTGGGTGAGTGAGAGAGCGAATGTGAATGATCATAGTGAGAGAGAGAGAGAGAGAGAGAGAGAGAGAGAGAGAGAGAGAGAGAGAGAGAGAGAGAGAGAGAGAGAGAGAGAGAGAGAGAGAGAGAGAGAGAGCGAGAAGGTGAGTGAGCGAGAGAGTGAGTAAGCGAGAGAGTGAGTGAGCGAAAGAGAGAGAGAGAGAGAGAGAGAGAGAGAGGGAGAGAGAGAGAGAGAGAGAGAGAGAGAGAGAGAGAGATAAAGAGAGAGAGAGAGATAAAGAGGGAGGAGGATGTCGAAGCAAAACGTTTTAATTCAGTCTTTACAAAGATCGACCCCATAAATGAAAGCTTTTGGTACGAATTAGATGCGTGGCACTCTACTGCCACCTAGCCCGTATAACCTACAACTACATCCACTAGGCGGCGCCAAAAGCGTCGATGAGTTAGAATAGTCGCCGGTCAGGTTGGAACAAGGTCATGTCACCGCCAAGCCCATAATTACAAGCATTTAAGGATGCTTATCACCAAACCCTCCACGTTGGCTTAATTTACCAATCTTGTGTATGTAGATTCG